AACTTTGTGGTATCCCCCTTTTTTCATAAACCTTCCCCCTCGTTCCAGGTTGCTGCCACCAGCAAAAAGAGAGCACAGCCTCTCAGTACCCGTAAACTTTATTAAATGTGTGCTTTTTCATTCTTAAATTAATTTTTTTTTTTTTCATACTGAAATAGCACCAAAGGAAGAAGGATGACAGTATCACCAAGTGAAGGGGAGGGAGGAGAGAAAACCCAGAAACTGCTGTCTACAACCAAGGAATGTTTCAATGGTTAGGAAAATGGGCAATATTTCCCCTTCATCTGGAGACTTGATGCTGTGAAGTGTGAAGTGTGTATGTGGGAGAACTGAGAATCAGTGCAAGAATCACCCTGGAATCAGTGCAAGAATCACCTTTCAGGGTAGGAAAGGCCAAAATATTGCTGGAAAATTCTTAGTGCCGCACCCAAAGGCCACCCTGACACCAGGCAGAGGAGTCTCACACACTGATCTCCAGGGCACCCTGGTGAATAAACTCCTTTTAGCTGTGCAGATCATTGAGTGGCAGCAGTTCCACAGCAGCTGATAAAATTCCCCACGGCACAAAATCAGCACCAAGGATACCAGGGGCACAGCAGCCCCATCCCAGCCCTTCCAGGAATGGCAGTGATGGATTTCACAGCAGCACAAAGACCTGGTATTGCCTTGCCAAACTGCACTGGTAAAGAAAACCCCATTTCTCTGTGTTTTTCAGTTGAAACAGAGAGCAAAGAGCTTCCCCATCCTCCAGGTTTGGCTGAAAGCTGTTGCTGATGGGTTAAAGGGAGATCTCACCTTCTGTGACTTTCTGAACTCCTCGAGCCTGTGCCAAAGCATGTCAAGAGCAATGGGGGAAAAATTATTTTTGAGGACTGTGGGGCAATCCTGGTGCTCAGCACACCCAAGGCCATGCTCCTGGTGGTCCAGGAGAGCTCTGGTGCCATTTGTGGCTGTGTGTCTCCTCAAAGATCATGGAACCATGGGATAGTTTGGATTGGAAGGCACCACAAAGCTGATCTCATTCCAGGGAAACCTTCCACCATCCCAGGTTGCTGCAAGTCCAGTCTGTCCTTGGACACTTCCAGGGATGGGGAATCCACCACCTTGGGCAGCCCAGGCCTCACCTCCCCCATTGTATGAAATTTCCTTATGATCAATTTGGCGCTTGATGCTGACAGGATGCCTTGTAAAGGTTGGTGTGGGTTCTTAAATCCAAAATTTGGATTTGTTCTAAAATCCAAACGTTGCATCGCATATAAGCCTGAACTTCATCAATGCCTCATGGCAGATTTGATTATTGAGACCAGAAGCATTTTAATGACCTAATTATTTTCTCATAGTTAATGTTTTGATTTTTCTTCCTCTTTCTTTTTAAAGAAAAACACTCTTTTATTTATAGCTACTCTTGATTTCCCCTCCAATACACGTGCTCAGCGCTGCAGGCCCAGAAGGGATGTGGTTTTCAATAGTTTACCTCCAATTCTTCTTAGGTTAAAATAATCTAAACTTCATGGCTGGATTTTCAAATAAGCCTAAAGAGTTTAGAGGCTTAAATGCTATTAGAGTTCAAAGCAATTTGGTTGCCTGACCTCTTTTTAAAAGCCATTGTTCATATGTGGAGGGATTTTCAGAACTACTTATGGGCCAGATCAAAACCAATCAATCACAGTCCCAGATCCCTAAATAGCTTTACAAGGTGTGCAACAAGGTATTCAAACCCCTGGAAATGAGAGGGGGTAAAACACTGAAGCATTTAGGGGAAAGTATTCCTAAGTGGCTGAGCTTGATGTGCTGGGAAGAGTTTTTAAAGGCACATTTGATGGGCTTGTGCACATATCAGGGCTCTCCTGATTTAATGGCAGGGATTTGGTGGCAGGTGCAGATATTCAGCTGTAAAAAATGCTTGGTATTGCTGCAGCTTGTGCAATATGGGGAGACCAGTCTGTGGCCCTATAAAGCTGCTTTATGGTAGTGCAAATGTGACTGTATGGGAGAAAATAGCAATATAATTATATTGATTTTTTAAAACATCACACTCGTAAGTGATGTTTATATTTGTCTGCTGGTTTTGGCTGGGGTGGAGTTCATTCTGTTCCTAGGACTGTGGTTTGGATTTGTGCTGGGAACAGTCCTGATAACCCAGGGATGTTTTCACTGTGGCTGAGCAGTTCTTGCACGAGCATCAAGGCTTTTCCTTCTCCTCCAGTGAGGAGGCTGGGGATGCACAAGGAGCTGGGAGGGGACACAGCCAGGACAGCTGAGCCTGATGGGAGCAATATGGCTCTGGATATTCCAGACCACATGGCATCATGCTCAGCATATCAAAGTGGGCAAAGAATGAAGCAGGAAACTTTTGGAGCGATGGTGTTTGTGTTCTCAAGTCACCATTCCAAATGTGAGGAGCCCTGCTGTCCTGGGGATGAGCATCTGAGCACCCACGGGAAGCCTGAAATTAATGACTTCATTTGCTTTGCTTGTGTGTGTAGCTTTTGCTTTACCTATTAAATTGTCTTTATCTCAACCCACAGGTTTCCTTAGATTTACTCTTCCAATTCTCCCCCCATCTCACCTGTGGAGTGAGTGAGTGGGGCTGAGATCCCAGCTGGGCTTAAACCACAATAACTTGTCAGACCACAATACTTGTCTGTATTATCCCAACCTTAATTCTCCTTGAAATACCAAAGAAATAGCATGTTAAAATCTTCTTTTCAGCTAGGAAGACCTCATATTTTGTGCCTGCTGGGTGAGTGAGTGATGCCTCATCCTCACTAGCACCTTGGTTTTTCCCTTTGAATTGAAGAGCACAGCATGGGCGGCTATCCATCCCTCATTCCTACCCCAAAAAACTTGCTCTTAGAATATCTGTCCCAATAATTACCTGCCATCCTTTTGGCTACACCTCATGCCCATTCTGAGCAGCACAGGCAGATTGCTCCCCTCCCCTCCTGTGACACACTGGGGAGGGTGATGTGACACCACTGCCAAGAGCCCGACGTTCTCCCAGCTTCTGATTTGAGCTGCAGATGCTGGGAGGGACCGTGGCCTCATGGAGCCAAAGCTCTGTGACCATCTCTGATCTGCTCCTGTCATGTCTTAGTGAATTTTGAGGGGCTGAGGGGAGGCAGGCAAGGAGAGGGACTGCTGGGGGTGTGTGTGGTGCCTCCTCCTCCTTCCTGCTGAAAGGTGTTAATGCAGATGTGGCATGGGATATTGCCACAAAAGGCCTTAAAATGGGACAGAAATGGGGGAGAGGAGGTAGTGAACATGGCACTGAGCTGTGCCACACCAGGACAGAGGGCTGAGCACAGTCTGGCTTTGGTGCCACCAGCCCATCACCACTTCTCTACCAGCTGGGGCATTTCTGCAGTGACAGCTGTGGGAGAAGCTCCTGGGGCCTCACGAGCTGAATTTTCCCTTGGGAAATGGGCCTGGCATGCAAAACCCTGAGGGTTTGTGTCTTGAGGGGATAGGAAGGTTCCAGGATCTTTGGGAACACAAGGAGACATGTAGGGCTGGGAAGAAAGGTGGTTTAGGGCAGCCAGGAGAAGCTGCAGCTCAGCACATGCCATGAGGCTGAGTGGGTCACCAAACCCTTCTCCTGACTTGCCAAGGTGGAAATGTTTCCCCCTCAGGTGGAATTGTAACTTCTGATCCAATTCTCTTTGGACTCTGAAATCTCTGCTCTGCTGGGATTTTATTAATGTCCTTCCTGGTATGCAGGCAGCCAGTGAACTTCATCCCCAGCTTCCTTCCCAACCACATTCCTGGGGGATCCCCACAGGTTTGTTTTACCCCCTCAGGTACTCTCCAAAGCTGGGCTCAGGAGAGGAGCACTGCCATGTGGTTTGTGCAGCACCGAGGTGTAACTGGGCACTCCCACAGCTCAGAAATGCTGAAAATCAAGAGCCAGCAGATAAATGAGCCCATGGTAATAAAAGACTGCTTCACTAACAGATTTCTATCACTGAAACATTTCCACCAGCTAAAAAAAAACGAGGTAAAGGTTTTGCCTGACAGTTTTTAAAGCCCTTCACAACCTTCCAGCTCCCGCCATCAGCTCTCCTTTAGGAAAGAACTATTGTTTTCTCATTCCTCTTTCTGGACATGATTATCGTTCACTTTTTCCCAACCAACCCTTCCTCCAGTCTATTTAAGACTGGCCCAACTTAAAGCATTCATCATTATGGCTTCAACCACGTCCACTGGACACCAAGAAGTTTCTTGCATACACCCGGTGGGACGGTGGGTCCCCCAACACCTTCAGGATGTGCCACCAGCATCATCTCAGCATGGACCTTCCTTCCCATCCCCAAAATCCCTTCAGATGAGCCCGCCTTAGGAAAAAAAACCCTTAGAAAAGCATTTTGCTGTCAGAGTAGCAAAAGGGATGCAATAGGGAGCACTGGTCTAGAGCCAGCTCCTGTGAATGAGGCCTTTTGACTACCTGGCAATTTTCATTATAGAGTCAAAAGAATCATTTGTGTTCTTTCACTTTTGGCTACCAAAATTATTTTCTCTCAAAACAAAACAAAGGATTATTGGTTTTGGCTTCCTTAAGAGGAAAAATAAGCTTGGCTGATGAAAGAGCTTGATTTAAAGGGGGTAAAAATAAAACAAAAAATTGGGTAAGTGGAAGCAAAATTCACCAAATGTTTCATGCAATAAAAAAATCCCCTAAGGGAACGTTTGGAAAGCCAAATTAGGTATTAAGCCACCTTTGTTTTATTGTCAAAAGTGGTGAGGTCTGGCCAAAATGGCCCTTGCTAGCCAAAACCTGGCTGAACTTTCAGGAAGACTCTGAGCTACCCCAAGCACTCGTGTCACTGCAAAAAACTTTGCACCTGTGTTTTTTTCAGAGGCAGGGCTAAACCTCAGGCTCATGTCAGTAGGACCAGGCTGTTGTTCACAGCCTCCTTTTTTGGATGTACACAGCACCTCTTCTCTGAGAGAAGAAAGGAAACGAAGCAGTGTTTAAAAAAAAAAAGGAAAAGAAAATCCAATCAGAACAAATCATGTTTCAGCACAGCTATTATTTTTTTTTTCCGTATTTCCCCCCCGCTTCTCTACTGATACGTAAAAAAAATATATATATTATATTATATTTTCCTTTTCTTAAATTATTTCTTTCAGCCTCAGTCCCAGCCGAAGTCCTGCCCTGTCATCTGGTAGAACTTCATGTTGAAGGGTCGGTAGAAGTCCCTCAGCCTCTGCACCACCTCCTGGTCGATGTCAGGGTGGGTCCTGCCTTTCGTCTTCCCCAGGCAGTGGGGTTTGCTGCTGCCCTCCGCCTTCTTCAGGCACGGGAAGCCCTTGGTTTTGTTGAAGTAGAAGTGTTTGTCCGTGATGATCCTCTTGAGGCCCAGAAAGTCCTGGACCCTGCCCAGCTCCCCCGCAGGGTCGCTGATCAGCCTCTCCCCGCTGACGAAGAGGATCTGCCCCAGGGGGAAGTGGAGCAGCCAGTTCTCCAGGTGCTTGGCGTAGATGCCAATCTGGATGGCACTCCACGAGGTGTCAATCAGGCCCGTAGTCCTGTTTTTGAAGGTCAGGCTCTCAAAGGTGGGGATGTCAGGCTTCTTGGAGAGCGTCTGGGTGTAGTCCGAGATGGCTCTGGTGACGGGGTCCCGCACCACCACGATCAGCTTGGTGCCCTTGCACATGGAGGAGATGCGGGCCGGGGCCTCCTTGGTGACGAAGTAGCTGGGCGTCTTCTCCATGGTGATCTGCCCCTCCAGCGTCCTGGGCATCAGGTCCCTGCCAGAGGGGGAACGAGGGACAGGTCAGTGCCAAAGTGCCCTGGGCAGGGGAGCTGGAGGTGGGCAGAGCTCTGGGGGTGTCCTGGGGATCGAGGGCAGGATGGTCCTGAGCCCCCTGCCCCTGGCCCAGCCCTTCCCTCCTTGCATTTACAGTCAGGAGGCCACAATGCTCTGATTCTGCAAACACCTGAGCTTGCCCTTGATTTCCCACTTCCTCTCGCTGCCCATCTACCTGGAATTAGACCTGAATTCACAGAATAATTCACACAGAATTCACAGAATCACTGGGTTGAAAGAGACCTTCAAGATCATCAAGTCCAACCCAGCCCCAACACCTCAACTCAACCCTGGCACCCAGTGCCACATCCAGGCTGGTTTAAACACACCCAGGGATGGTGACTCCACCACCTCCCTGGGCAGCCATTCCAGAACTTTATCAGTTTTCTGTAAAACACTTCCTAATATCCAACCTAAATTTCCCTTGGTGCAGCTTGAGGCTGTGTGCTCTGGTTCTGTCAGTTCCTGAAGAAAGAGCCCAACCCCACCTGAGCTCAGCCACCTTTCAGGAGCTGTAGAGAGTGATGAGGTCACCCCTGAGTCTCCGTTTCTCCAGGCTGAGCACCCCCAGCTCCCTCAGTTGTTCCTCACAGGGCTTGTGCTCCAAGCCCAGATTCATTTTGCCTGTTCAAGCCCTGCCCTCTGGATGGGATCCCACCTCCCTTCTTGCAGTGGCAGGAACACAGCAGCACCTCAACCATCCTAATGCCCTACCCCTTTAAATTCCTCCCTGCCCACACTGGGGTTTCCTGCACAGAGGCTTACATTCCCTGGAATAACAGTGAATTCCTGGAGTAACAACACTCCCTTCCTGTTGGACAGGGGAATTTTCAAGGGCCAGGATGCAAGACTTTATTTTTTAGGATTTCCAAGGAGGCAGCAAGTTGGTGACACATAAAAATGTGCAACATCAGCCTCCTGACCTCAGCAATTTCCTTCTTTCACCCAAAGACATCCCACGGCAGCTGCTTTGGGAAGCTCTCCTAGAGTGAAGTGGGAAGGGGCCTGGGGCTCAGGCCAGGGTCCATCCTGCTCCGTGGTCCCGAGAGTTTCTCCTGGGCCAGGATTGGGTGTGATTTGCTAAAGAGCCACAGGATTTGGTGGCTGGACACCCTGAGCTCCTTCATGTTAAACAAGGCACAGCAGGAAGGTGGAGGAGCCTTTGGAGCAGGTGACTCCCAGTTCTTCTCCCTCTCCTGCTCATCCCACTTGCATCCCCCCCACACATCACTCCTACAACACAGTAGGATGTCTCAGGTTTTGGCTTTTATATTTTTCACATTCTGTGCTGCTTTAGTGTGCGGGTCTGGGCTTTATATCAGGGGATGCTGAGCTCTCTGCACAGAGCAGGGAGACAAAACAATTCCTGCTCCAGCTGGGCACCAAGGACAAATGATCCAAACTTCAGCCCAGGAGCACAAACAGCGTGGGCTGGAGAGAGAAAAACAAGCAGGGTGGGACTGCCTGGGCTGGAGCTGGAATGGGACAATGAGCTCCAAGGTGCCCATGGAGCAGAACTGATCCCAGGGAGAGCCCCCGGGAGCGCTCGTGCATTTTGGGACCATTTTGGTTCATCTTGGCTGCAGCCCTGGTGCTGCCCAAGGTGGATCCATGGAGGAGATCCTTTGAATAAATCCCTGCTTTATTCTTTAGCTGTGTCCAGCCTCTGCTCTAGGCCTTCACAAGGCTTCTACAAAACTCCAGACTCCCACCCCCATCCTTGGTGGCACACCAATCCATCCCTCAGCACTCTCCCTCTCCACAGCTGATCCTCCCATGGTCCCGTCCTTCCCAGGGGAATGGGGGATGGATGGGGGGTGCCTGCAGCCCCACTGGGGTTCACCCCCATGCCCCCAGCAGCTCTGATGGCAGCTGCAGCCCCCCACACCCTGAGCCCTTGGCTTTGACCCCATGTGTGAGATGAGCTCCCTGCCCTCCTCCCTGCAACCATCCTGCAGCAGCAACATCTGGCTTGCAAACCCGTGCAATATGCCAGCAAAATTGAAGCCATCTATCAAAAAAAGCAACAAAGAAAAACCAACAGCAGCTAAAAACAGCAATAATAACCAAACCCCAGGCTGTTATGTTTCAAATGAGAGAGCAAGGAATGGCCCTTCCTAAAGGAATTCCCTCTGCAACCACGTTACGCAGGGGCTGAGCAAAGACATCTCCCAGAGAATCAAACCTTTGCTGAGGGTTTCTGTCTGGGGGAAACTCCAAGACTTTGGGACTGAGGAATAAGCAATCTGAGGAGGATGAAAGATCTCTCATGCATCCTGAAGATGTGAAGGCAAAGGGAGTCACCACTGACAACAATGTGGTGTTAGAGCACCCAAGGGCCCTCCCTGCGTTCATGGCTTGGGATGAGCTGCCAATGGATTTGAGAACAAACACCTTAAAGCAAGCTGCAAAGGGGAAATCTGCCCTCTGTCAGCTTTTCCCTGCTCAGCAGCTTTGCTGCAGCTCGATTTTCCTCCCCAGAAATGTCCAGGGTCTGGCTGGGATCTGGAGCACCCCAGCAGTGGTGGGAAAGGAAGTCTGGCATGGTGGCAAGTGCTGTTTTTAAGGAGGTGCCACTGAAGGGGTCACTGCAGGGAAATGCAATAAATAATAAATAAAAAAAAAATTGCTGCCCTTTCTGAAAGAGCCCCACAGCTCTGCAATCAGCCTTGGGTCCTGTGGAAAAAGGTAAGGAAGAAATCTGCTCCCAGAAATGCAACACAGTCCTAGGAAGGATGAGACCCTCTAGATAGGGTGGGGTAGCAGGGCAGAGAGGGAAAATGAACTGTCTGAGGGGGCTTATTTCATCTCTGACTTCTCCACAGAAACAGTGCCAGAATTCTGCCTCCAGGAAGGAGCCAGACACGGTGGTGACAGGCATGTGGCAGGGCTGGCAGCCCCGGGGGAAACACAGAGCCTTCTCCATCATGGAGCTATCAAACAAGCAGGGCAGAGAAACTGAGGCACAGCCAGCATCGTGGCTCGGTCCACCTCACAGCCCCAGAGGGGTGTGTGCTGCTCCCTGGGCCACCAGCACCTCGTCTTCTTCTTCCCCCACCATCTCTCTTTTCCTTCCAAGTCATTTTAAGCAGTGACTCTGCAAGAGGAATTTATAAAAAACCCAAAACTCGCTCTCAGGAGCACTCCCCTTCCCCCACCTCCAGCCCACACTCCCAGAAGTGCCATTACAGCATGTTCAGGAGATGATTGAAAAGAAAGATGCTCTAGCAAGAGTGATAACTTGATGTAACCAGGAGTGTGTATGGATACATAAATTCCAAAATGCTGCCTAAAGAGATTAATTCCTCCCTCCCATGAGGCCAGCTGCTGAGCCCAGGGGCTGTGCTGCCCCAGCAGCTCTCACGAGGCTCTGTATTTGCTTTGATGAGCTGTGAGTGTGCATGGGAGTCAGCTGAGCCTCCTGCTCTGCCTTCCCTCAGATCTCAGGTGAAATCGATACACGGAAAGATGCATTTCAGGAAACTGAGAAAGATTTAAAAGAAAAAAAAACGTCCAAGAAAAGCTGTGAGACTGAGGAAGCTGAAAGGAGAGGGGCAAAAGATCAGAGAGGTCTGTAAGGAAAAAAGAATCACTCATTGTGTTGGATGTAAAATCAAACCCAACTGGCATTAACAGCAAAAGGACACCCTTGCCACTGATTTTAATGAGGGTGGATTAAGCTGAGCTTGGAGTAAAACAAGATCCAGGAACAGTCCTAGGAGAGGACAAGGAGCCCTGGGTCTCTGCTGTCCTTACCCATCCTGCTGTAGAGGCATTCTGTCTGCATAAAGACAATGCTCAGGGAAATTCTGGTGGTTTTGGAGGGTGCCCTGGTGTCCTTGTCCCTGGTGTCCCTGTCCCTCGTGTCCTTGCCCTGGTGTCCCTGTCCCTCATGTCCCTGTCCCTGGTGTCCCTGTCCCTGGTGTCCCTGTCCCTCGTGTCCTTGCCCTGGTGTCCCTGTCCCTCATGTCCCTGTCCCTGGTGTCCCTGCCCTGGTGTCCCTCATGTCCCTGTCCCTGGTGTCCCTGTCCTGGTGTCCCTGGTGTCCCTGTCCCTCATGTCCCTGTCCCTCATGTCCCTGTCCCTGGTGTCCCTGCCCTGGTGTCCCTGGTGTCCCTGTCCCTCATGTCCCTGTCCCTCATGTCCCTGTCCCTCATGTCCCTGTCCCTGGTGTCCCTGCCCTGCCTGCAGAGCCACGGCGCTGTGCACTGAGGGGCAGAATCTGCACACAAAGATGGGGCTCTGCTCGCCAGCCCCGTGCCCAGCTCATGTCCTCCTCCTCTCCTGGGCATGGAGAGTGTGTGGGTCACAGCTAATTACAGCACGCAAAGCCTCTGTCTAATTGCTCTGCTGAATTACTGACGGGCCGAGCGGCTGCTCTGAGGGCGGCAGGAGTGGGCAGCGCCGAGCTCACCCAGGTGCCCGGGGCCACCTCGTGCTGAGCAGTGATCCCGCTGTGCCAGCACCCCCTGAACAGGCTGGGAGAGGAAACTGGGCCGAGAGGTTCCCAAAAAACCCACCCTGCTGGCAAGCACATCTGGAGCCCAGCAGTGCCTAAGTGCTATCGACAAGCAGAAACTCCCTGGCGTCCTTAGCCCTGCAAGCCATTGATTTTCTCTGCTGGAACAAGGAGCTCATCGGAGCTGAGGCAATCACAGGTGGCACTACCAGCTCCTCTGGGCTGTCCAGCTGCGTTTGCAAAAGGAATGTTTTGGGTTTGTTTTCTTTCCAGTGGCTAATTGCTGGTAAATCCCAGCCCTCTGCTACCAGGAAGAGATGAAGAGCCCCAGGGCTGTTGGTCACAGCCCCTTCAACGTGTGTCCATCCTTTGTATGGGAATGGAGGCACCAGCAGGCATCTTCTGAAGGATCTTTCTCTGCCAGGGTTGTGGCTGGGGCTGAGTTCATCAGCCATGGCTGCAGTGCTTCCCATCTTTAAGCT